ATTATAAGGCAGCATGAACGCTTGATTTTTAACTTGAAAACAATACATTTTTACAGTGAATAAAGCAGGATCTTCTAGCAGAATGATGAATGAAACGCAAACATCCTCTTTAACAGATTTCACTGATCCAAATGCAACAAAAACTCAGTTCTATCATAAACAGTTAATAGGCTGCTGAGTTGAAGAAGAACATCTCTGTGTGTTCCCCACCGAATTAGCACTTTAACCCCGAAAACTTTGCCACACATAAGTCCTGCCAGTGCCAAGAGCAAGTCAACTATACAGAAATTGGCTGCAGAACTTCTTTTAATACTAATAATATTTGGCTAAGCGGATGGCTAATTGAGTACGCTTAATACTGTACAGTTTATTAAAAGGTCAAAATAAAAGGTTTTTGAATAGCTAAAACAAAAACACTGCAATAGATTGGTAGGCTTTTTGATCAAAAACTGGTTATTCTTAGGGGTAGGATTTTGATACACTACCTTTTGACTTGAGCCAAGGAGCAACACCATTAAATACCCTAGCAACCATTTAACAACCACCCAGAACAACCTAGGAACAATTTAACATTCACCTAAAACAACCTAGCAACATAATATCCAGCTGAAACATCTTAGCAATCAACTAACAACCACTCAACCACCAAAACAACATAGAAATTGCGTTTCCACCCTGAAAACCCTAACAATTAAACCTAGCAACTGCTTAGTAACACCTAGAACAGTATGAACCATTTAACAACAACAACAACAACCTAGTACTGCTTAAACATACAGAACACCTTAGCAACCACTTGACAACCACCCAGAACATCCTAGTCGCTTGATGCACAGAAGTTCAATCTAGAAAAAAAAAAACCTAACCACCCAAAACATAGCTTATTAATTGATGCTGTTTTCTGAAATGCGTGAACAAAACTTCACTTAAAACAGTCTCAGCTTTTAAATTCCGTCGATTTTGTGACGAAATTCAAATAATAAATGTCGTTTTGGCGAATTGGCGCTCTTTTAGTGTGTCGCGTGGCGTGACAGATCGTTGCGCCAGCACGTGAACCGATCATATCTTCCGCTAGGCTACTAAATCACTAAAAGAACATCCAAAGATATGTTGAAAGATACTTACCGAAATGTATTATGCCTCAATTATCAGTGTCTTAAACGCGGACAGACGTCATCAACAAACTCTCCCGTCACGTGTTACGCCAACGGTAAGCCCACATTTTCCTCAGGAAAGCCTTTGCAAAAAATATGCACTATTGGTTACGTCTTTACTTAATCTGTTTGATTAGATAGATCCGTCATGAAAACAAATTTATGTTTGTAAATGATTAAAAATAGGCTATTTGAAAAACGAATTGGAGTAACAGCTCATTAAAGAGTTATTATTATTAAAAACGGCCTTTTGTGCTAATTAAATGTTTGAATAGGGCTACAAATCGTTTTTTTTTATTTGAGTATATTTCTAAAAAGTAAGATCAATAATAAATAAATAATAATAAGCAGTTGAGCAATGTAGGCTAATTGATTTCAGTATTTAATATTATAGTAATATACCAACTGACAGGGTTCCCTGAATAGTTTACAGCTTGAGGTTTTTTGTTTTCCTTGAGAAAAATTAATGTAGAACTAGCTATATATGAGCGAATTGAAACAATTGAGCGACTGTGAATAAAAATGAAATCAATTCAATCAATTCCCAGCCCTACATGCTAGCAAGTTAGCAACCTCCCAGAACATCCTAGCAACAACTTAACAACCACCCAAAACACCCTAGCAACCACTTAACAACCACCCAGATCAGCCTCATAGAACACCGTAGCAACCACAATGAACAACCTAGCAACCAAATTATGAATTATATTTAATAATTTTATCAAATTATATCAACCACAAAATTATTAACCAAATTAAGTCCAAAAACTGCAACTCCCATGTATTTTCTTATAAATCCCTGCACAAATCCAAACGAATTACCTGCAGAAACACTTTGTTTGGACTCCTATAAACTGGCACCAGAGCCCGGACTCTCCTCGACGCCAGAACGGTTGAGATTTCAACAATGCAAAGCATATGCTTATGAAAATAATTACCTAACCTTGAGTTCAGGGGCTTCTTGGCTACAGATAGAGGGGCCAGACACAGCGCCAGGTAACGTCTGCAATTATAACCGGGCTGAATAACCTCCATCAAAACTCACTTCATGCGCATTACGCGCAAGAAAAAGCCCATAAAAGCCTATTCAGGATCAAGGATGCCTGTTCCCAGAGGCCCCTCTATCTCTAATTGTAATCTATTAAGAATCACAAAAGCTGCAGACGGGAAGGTTTCCGAGCGGAGCGTCTGTTCAGACAGACAGGCACCTGGGAAATCGGAGGAGGTTTTCAGTCCAGGAGGGAAAAGTGTATCGCTTTCTGAAGCTAATTAGTCCTGTACATGACCAATCAGAAGAAATACAACAGCTGGCCAAGAAATATATTTGCCTTCCATTCGTGAAAGACAGCCAGTGGAAAGAAACAGAGGAATACCTGATGTTATTCAAGGGGGCCGTTTCAGGGGACAAAATGTGGGACAAATAGACCCTCAACAATCTCATGTTCATTGTTTCCTATACGGCTTGAATGGACACGAGCAACGGCCAAGAGAAACATTCAGAAGGGGGGATCCCACGAAGCCTGTCAAAAGAAGATTTGAGAAATTATATTTTACAAACATTAAGGTGTTTTAATAGATTATGAGTGGCCATGCAAAGTGAAAAATCATCTAAATAGTCAAGTATTTATAGCCTACATAATGTGATAATGATATGAGTATAAATATTCGCATTATAACAATACATAATTATAAAAATACAATTTAATATTAAATATGTCACAGATCAGGAAAAAAAATCTATCTTCTATATGGAAAATATGATTTATTTTGAATTTGGGGTGAGAGCTTCAAATTTCAAATGGCACTTAGAGGCTTTTGCATCTGAACTCTTCATATATATATATATATATATATATATATATATATATATATATATAAAGAGAGAGAGAGAGAGAGAGAGAGAGAGAGAGAGAGAGAGAGAGTCCTACTCTGTTAAAGAAAAAAATCATAATATTTTGAGTTTCTGATGATTCAATCAATCTCCTTCATTGTATTAACTCAATTTTTCAATTTCAATGAACTTAGAGTTTTAAGGCAACCCGGTTACTTAATTTCTTAAGTTAAACCAACAATATATTTTTTTTTACAGCATATACTTGTATTCTGTTCGGAATATGACATTCCAGACTGTAATTACACTTTTAACCAGCAGGGAGAGACACAGCTCCTACATTTATTTTAGCCTAGATAACACGGTCCTGTACAAGTATTCATTTGTAGACTCAAATCCATGATCATGTTAGAGTTCCCCTGTTGTCAATCATTTCATGCCTTACTCAACCTATCACCAAAATGACATTTAAAAAAAATATATATATATATATATACTATATATATAAATAAATAACTTTAAGATCAATTTGAAAGCACAAACACCAATAAATATTCAATAACATTGAAAGGCAAAAACCAGTTTTATTGCAATTGAATCGTGCAACAATGAACAGGCTGAGAATGCACAGATTTGCAGTACTGAGAGTTTAAGAGGTAGATGTCAAAAAACAACAGATCCAGAACAAAAAAATACACACACATTGAAACTACGGAGTGTCAAACAAGTCAAAGGGAATGTCAATGCAACTCTTTAATAACTTTCCTATGCATAATCTCTATTTCCTAATGGATAACAACCCACGATTGTAAACACCAGCAGGTATTAACGGACTGTATTGTTATGTATTATTTTTTCTCCATAAATGTACTGATCTCAGAATTAACATGTAAACAGCACTATTATGAATGGAGTCATAATATTTTCAGTGCAAATGCTCAGAAATATATTTTCTACTCTGTATAGTAATTGTCCTTAATGCTATTTATGCAAATTCCTATTTAAAAAGTATCCGCAAAGTATCAGAAATATAAATTTGAATGTAATTCATTTCCCCAATATACAGACCATACATTCTGACCATTAAAAAAAAAACAAATCAATCATTCGTCTGATTTTTATCATCTTGGTGAAGTCTCAAGTGCTTCACTACAATCCATCATTACAATATTAATGCCTAATTCAGCACACGCAAACATTTCTTGTTATATTTAAGTGCATGATTGTATTCAAATGCTCGGGTTGGGGAACAAAACTATAACATAATCATTATATAAATATTCAGATCACCAACTAGAGAAAAAAAAAGTAATGTTAAAGAGTCAAGGGTCAAGAGCCGAACTAAAGCAAATACTGATCACCATAATGGTGACATCAAAACTTTAGTTTTTTCAATAAAACGTTTGTATGAAATAAAGTCTGGATTTTAGTAGATGAAGATGCTGAGATCTTGAGAGAGTGTATAATGTTCAATTGGTATTTAAAGGACTGGCTCTCATGCTTATTTGGACACTTGAGTCTCTTCTGCTCACCAAGGCTGCATTAATATGATCAAAAATACAGTAATATTCTGAAATATTATAAAATGTTAAAGTATAATGTGTTAAAAGTGTAATTTATTCCGGTGATCAAAGCTGAATTTATCATCATTCCTCCAGTCTTGAGTGTCACATGATCTGTCAGAAATCATTATAATATGATGCTCATTTATTATTGCTGCTCAATTATTAATAATGACAGTGTATATCTACAGTATTGCTTTATGATTTGACCCTAACAAACTTATTTTTGCCGTATATCTTTCTTTACAGTAAACAACTCTTGATTTCTAGCACATTTCCATGTCTTAAGTGTCCAAATGTTATATATTATTCATATTTATATTTCATTTTATAGGGTTGCTGTATAAAACCTAACAGCGTTTGGATTTCAGGAAGGCTGATTGATTGATTTTGTGCATTTGATTTATAACGAAGAGGTTAATGTTTTCATATATTCACAAAATGACATAAAAGTGCTTTGATGAATCTGTATTACATTCAAAACCGATTTTCTAAACTCAAATTATCCATGATTTTCTTCTAAAGTTCAACAGGAACCTGAAATCCTTTGATTCATTTCCTCCGATCCCCGTATAAACATCAGTAGCTCTACCCAGAATGCCCTGCTGACGTGAAACAGAACCGGAGCGGTGTCGGGAGACTGAGAGGATCACTTGTTGTTGGTGCAGTAGTTTGCGTAGTTGGCGCAGGCCTTCTTCATGTCGGTGAGAAAGGCTGGGACGCCCGTCTGAGGTGGAAACACATTGATCAACACCTTTACATCAATAAATCCACATGGAGGAAAGGATGGATGATGTACAGCCGGCTCACCTTCGCTGCCCAGTTCACCAGCCACGTCGGGATCATTCCTCCAGGATTATCAAAGTAGTTCATGAACACTGGAATATGATTCAAACACACACAGTTAGCGGTGAGCAGGAGTATGTTACGTGCATGTGTGTGTGGGTGTGTAGGTGTGAGTGAGTGAATGAATGTGACAATGAGTAAGTGAGTTACTGTGTGTGTGAGTGAGTGAGTGTTTGTGTGAGTGACTGAGTGTGTGAGTGAGTGACTGAGTGTGACAAAGAGTAAGTGAGTGACTGAGTAAGTGAGTAAGTGTGACTGAGAGTGAGTGAGTGTGTGAGTGAGTAAGTAAGTGAGTGTGTGACAGCTGCACTAGCGGCTAAATATGTGTTAGCTATTCACAAGGCCAGAGACAGCTAATTGTATTTATTCATTTCTTAATATATACTGTGTTTATTTATTTACCATGCTACATATGACATGATCTGTACATATATGTTCTGTGTGTTTGTTCTATTATTTATATATTATATGTTGATGCTTTGGCAACATTGTGTTACACAGTCATGCTAATAAAGCTATATTGAATTGAATTGAGCGAGTGTGACTGTGTGAGTGAGTGAGTGTGACTGTGAGTAAGTGAGTGACTGAGTGAGTGAGTAAGTGGGTGAGTGAGTGACTGAGTGAGTAAGTGGGTGAGTGAGTGACTGAGTAAGTGAGTGAGTGTGACTGTGAGTAAGTGAGTGACTGAGTGAGTGTGACTGTGAGTAAGTGAGTGACTGAGTGAGTGAGTGAGTGAGTGACTGAGTGAGTGAGTAAGTGGGTGAGTGAGTGACTGAGTGAGTGAGTAAGTGGGTGAGTGAGTGACTGAGTAAGTGAGTGAGTGTGACTGTGAGTAAGTGAGTGACTGAGTGACTGAGTAAGTGGGTGAGTGAGTGACTGAGTGACTGAGTGAGTGAGTAAGTGGGTGAGTGAGTGACTGAGTAAGTGAGTGAGTGTGACTGTGAGTGAGTGAGTGAGTGACTGAGTGAGTGAGTGACTGAGTGGGTGAGTAAGTGAGTGAGTGATTTATTTACCATGCTACATATGACATGATCTATATGACGTGATCTATACATATATGTTCTGTGTGTTTGTTCTATTATTTATATATAATATGTTGATGCTTTGGCAACATTGTGTTACACAGCCATGCTAATAAAGCTATATTGAATTGAATTGAGTAAGTGAGTGAGTGAGTGTGACTGTGTGAGTGAGTGAGTGTGACTGAGTAAGTGAGTGAGTGTGACTGTGAGTAAGTGAGTGACTGAGTGAGTGAGTGAGTGAGTGAGTGACTGAGTGAGTGAGTAAGTGGGTGAGTGAGTGACTGAGTGAGTGAGTAAGTGGGTGGGTGAGTGAGTGAGTGACTGAGTAAGTGGGTGAGTGAGTGACTGAGTGAGAGAGTAAGTGGGTGAGTGAGTGACTGAGTGAGTGAGTGAGTGGGTGAGTAAGTGAGTGAGTGTGACTGTGAGTAAGTGAGTGACTGAGTGAGTGACTGAGTGAGTGAGTAAGTGGGTGAGTGAGTGACTGAGTAAGTGGGTGAGTGAGTGACTGAGTGAGTGAGTAAGTGGGTGAGTGAGTGAGTGAGTGAGTAAGTGGGTGAGTGAGTGAGTGACTGAGTAAGTGACTGAGTGAGTGAGTAAGTGGGTGAGTGAGTGACTGAGTGAGTGAGTAAGTGGGTGAGTAAGTGACTGAGTGAGTGACTGAGTGAGTGAGTGACTGAGTGAGTGAGTAAGTGGGTGAGTAAGTGGGTGAGTGAGTGAGTGAGTGAGTGACTGAGTGAGTGAGTAAGTGGGTGAGTGAGTGACTGAGTGAGTGAGTAAGTGGGTGAGTAAGTGGGTGAGTGAGTGACTGAGTGAGTAAGTGGGTGAGTGAGTGACTGAGTGGGAGAGAGTGAGTGAGTGAGTGAGTGAGTGAGTGAGTGTGAGTGACTGACAGTGTGTGAGTGAGTGTGACTGTGTGAGTGTGTGTGTGAGTAAGTGGGTGAGTGAGTGACTGAGTGAGTGAGTGAGTGTGAGTGACTGACAGTGTGTGAGTGAGTGTGACTGTGTGAGTGAGTGAGTGTGTGAGTAAGTGGGTGAGTAAGTGACTGAGTGGGAGAGAGTGAGTGTGTGAGTGAGTGTGTGAGTGAGTGAGTGACTGAGTGAGTAAGTGGGTGAGTAAGTGACTGAGTGAGTGAGTAAGTGGGTGAGTAAGTGACTGAGTGAGTGAGTAAGTGACTGAGTGGGAGAGTGAGTGAGTAAGTGACTGAGTGGGAGAGAGTGAGTGTGACTGACAGTGTGTGAGTGAGTGTGACTGTGTGAGTGAGTGAGTGTGTGAGTGAGTACGTGTGTGCGCATGTGTGTCAGTGTGTGAGTGTGTACCTTTGGTCCCACCGGAGCCGTCGCTCTCCATGGCCAGACTCTGTTTGTAGTCTTTGACCCGGATCACGCCTCTCTTCTCCGCACACTGAGACACACACGAGCTCTTGGCTAAAACCACCCAGATCTTCCGTCCTCCCGCGTCCAGATCCCGGCGCTCACGCACATACACATACTCCAGAGGGTTAAGGCCTCACCGACAGACGTCAATCAAATATTATTATATAAATCAAGAAACATTATTCGTCTGACACTGAATCCGTCTATTCCCGCACACACACACACATGCTTGAAGTGTGCCTGTAGGATACATCCCTGTTGGACAGAGGTAATGGATATTTCACCTCCCAGTATATGGCTTTCTGCCCGCTGTAGTCTTTCTCGTGCAGCTCTGAGGATGACACACACACACACACACAGTGTAAGTACTTGCATACTTAAATAAGGTCACATGTTAACATTAGATAACAGCAACTAACAATGAACAATACTGTACTTCTAATGTGTTTTTTAATCTTAATAAATATGCTAATATCTCCAGCTGTATCAGTTATTATTCTTTTATTTCTTCTTGAAACAAACTTTGCAGCATTATTTTCCTGTTATCACTGTAAAGCGGCGTTTCAACAATCTGTATTGTAAAAAAGTGCTAAATAAATAGATGTGAATTGACTTCACAATGCAAAGGAAACTAAGGAGAACTGAATTTTTTATGTGCAGTAAAAATGCTGTGAAGTGTGAACAAATATATATTTCTCAGTCATAATAGCCAATGCATTGAGATGAACTATTAGCAAATGAGACCCGGTGTTACCCAGAACCTAAACTACACACATCAACAAACTGTTATTATGAGAGGAGTGTGTCCAGATGAGTTATGAGTTAATACAAATTAAGCTTTTCGTAATGCAACACTGTTAACCCTCTGGGGTTGTTTGTTTCAGATTCACACTCGGGGTGTTCAGGTCCAAATGGACCCAAAGGGCTGGATTCATATTTAAAAAAATAAAAAAAAATCATGATTTTTTTTTTTTACTCGTTTTTATAATATTTTTTCTTTTCTTTTTTGGTGCTTTGAGAAAATTTCAAAAATAAAAAAAAATATAATTAGTATTAATGCAATAATTATGACAAAATTTCCCCCCATTGAACATAACAGAAAAATTATTTTTTTTTAATTTTTTTTTTTTTTTTTAAAGCCGTATTTCATTTTAGAGTCAAGCCTAGGCCTCATAAAAGCAATTTTTGAAATGAGATGGGTGCCATCTGGTGGACAAACTGAGCATTTTAAAAATGCAAAACACATGTATAATCTAATTTTTTTGGTGTGTTTGTGTATAAAAGTGTGTTTGTGTGTGTCTGGATGTGTCTGTTTTGCGCTCTTGATGTTTTATAGATTCACCCCTTCACTGTTGTGTGCTTTTTTTCAAGATCGTGGCTGATTTGTAGATTGTACGCACAAACAAACTCACTATTTTCACATTTTTGCCAATTTCCCATTCATTTTCCATGCGGGTCCATTAGGACCCAAACACCCCAAGTGTGACTATTTTTTTTTACAACCTTAGACTATTCACATCCTGTCCCCAATTTTTTGGGGTGTTCAAATACCAAATACCAACAAAGTCACCAAATTTCAGACCATTCCGAGGAAGCTGTGATTTAAAAAAAAAAAAAAAAAAAGTATTTAAATTCTTCTGGTCCATTTGGGCCGAACAACCCCAGAGTGTTAAATGTCATTTTAGAGACACTGTTTTTTCTTAGAGACACGTTTTCAGTTCCAGCATGACATCCACACATCAGGTGTGAAAACTCAAACCAGACCTGAACCTCTCCTGAACTCGATCCGGACGCCGTCTGCGAGTCTGATCCCATCATGCAACCTCATGAGATCCATGTCCAACATCTAACATCTTCCCAGAAGACTGGAAGCGATCAGAAACCACAAACGTTTCAGGGTTTGACTTCAAAGTCACGTTAAAACAGCTTCATAGTTTTAAACAGTTGAATTTTATTATAAAATGGACTTTGAAAGCCCTTCCTTCAGAGCGTCTCCAAAGCCTCGACTCTCGAAACACATGAACGCACACAGCAGCGTCGGCAGAGCGCTACGAGAGACTGTTAAATGACCTTTTGTGTCAAAGCACATGACGTTACATAACAACGTGAACTTGTAGAGCTGTAGTTTCACCACCTGACTCCTGCAGGTTCATTTCGGCATTGATGGTGTTGCCATAGAAACGCAAAAGATATATATATGTGTTAATATTTAGACCACTTATTGAATATTATTGACCTTTAATGTGTTAATATAAAATATCCACGTTTGTGTTAGTTCACAGTGCATTAACCACAGTATATACCTTTTGATCTTAAAAATGTATTAGTAAATGTTGTCTAACTAAGATTATAAAATGCCGTAGAAGTATTTTTCATTGTTAGCAAATAAAACATTTTTGTAAATTGTTGCCATAAACTTTAACTTAAAAGATATATATATATATATATATATATATATATATATATATATAAAACTTAAACTCATTTTATTTCAGCTGTTGCTTACACTTTATTTTAAGTTATTTTGTAGTTACTCCAGTAAGTACTGAGTAATATTACTGTACTTGCTATAGAGTTACGGTTAGGGTTTGGTTTAGGGTTAGTTACATGTAATCATGCATAATTTATAGTTATTACTTTAGTGAGTGGATTTAGTGGTGTAAAGTGTTACCCAGACAGTTGCCAAGTTGAAATTTGTAATTTTTGTTAAGTAGAAATTGATGAACTAAAATAACCACAACTATAAAAACTATATAGACATTTATATGTCTATACTAAAATGACAAAATCCAACAAAATTACTAAAACTTTAAAATGAAAATTACAACCGAAAATATAAAAAGGCAAAATTTCTAATTTTCATTTAGGGGAACTTGATGTACTAAAATAACCAGAACTTGAGATAAAACTGGTAACACTTTATTTTACAGTGTCCTTGTTACATTTGTTACATGTACTTACCATACTAATAACAGTAAATTATGCATAATTACATACAACTAACTCTCAACCTAATCCTACCCTAACCCTATAGTATGTTGTTAATTATGATTACTCAGTACTTAAATGTATAATTACATTGTAGCAATGACACCTTACATTAAAGTGTAACCACAAAACAATATAGACCTTTAAAAATAAAACTAATAAAAATGACTAAACATTTCAAATGAAAATTATAACTGAAAATATAAAAAGACAAAATTTCTAATTTTCGTTTAGTAGAACTTGATGTACTAAAATAACCACAGCTTGAGATAAAAATAAAAACTATAGACATTTTAAAAATAAAACTAATAAAAATGACAAAATTACTAAAAAATTTTCAAATGAAAATTACAACCGAAAATACAAAAAGGCAAAATTTCTCATTTTCGTTTAGTAGAACTTGATGTACTAAAATAACCACAACTTGAGATAAAAATTAAAAATAAAAACTAGACATTTAAAAATAAAACTAATAAAAATGACAAAATGACAAAAAATTTCGAATGAAAATTACAACCGAAAATATAAAAAGGCAAAATTTTTCATTTTCGTTTAGTAGAACTTGATGTACTAAAATAACCACAACTTGAGATAAAAATAAAAACTATAGACATTTAAAAATAAAACTACTAAAAATGACAAAATGACTAAAAATTTCGAATGAAAATTACAACCGAAAATATAAAAAGGCAAAATTTTTCATTTTCGTTTAGTAGAACTTGATGTACTAAAATAACCACAACTTGAGATTTAAAAAAAAAAAAACTATAGACATTTAAAAATAAAACTAATAAAAATGACAAAATCCAACAAAATTACTAAAAATTTCAAATGAAAATAACAACCAAAAATATAAAAATGCAAAATTTCTAATTTTTGTTTTGTAGAACTTGATGTACTAAAATAACCACAACTTGAGATAAAAAACTATAGACATTTAAAAATAAAACTAATAAAAATGACAAAATTACCAAAAATTTCAAATGAAAATTACAACCGAAAATATAAAAAGGCAAAATTTTTCATTTTCGTTTAGTAGAACTTGATGTACTAAAATAACCACAACTTGAGATAAAAATAAAAACTATAGACATTTAAAAATAAAACCAATAAAAACGACAAAATGACTAAAAATTTCAAGTGAAAATTACAACCGAAAATATAAAAAGGCAAAATTTCTCATTTTCGTTTAGTAGAACTTGAGATTTAAAAAAAAATAAAACTAATAAAAATGATAAAATGCAACAAATTTACTAAAACATTCAAATTAAAATTACAACCGAAAATATAAAAATATTAAAAAATATAAACAAAAAAAAACAAGCACTGTTGAGCAGAAAAAGACTAGCAGGCGTGTGTGTGTGTGTGTTCCAGGCCTGAACGGGTCAATCCGACGATACACAGATCATGTATTCAGCGAGCAAGGGTGGAGGCTCGTGATTGTAATCAGAAGTGATTTCAACATTCAGTGAAATTATGCATGTGAACAACAGACACGATGTTCAAATGAAAGAACAAAAACAAGTCCTGTAGTGTGACACACATTTATTTAGAATTAGAAGAAAACGCAGAGATGATGAAACAACACTGCGGCGTGAAACGATAGAGACTGTAAACACTTCTGGATCCGGGGGTCAGTTTGTGTCGGTGTGTGTGTATAAATCAGTGTAACACCACAGGGGGACACTAGAGGACATACATCAGGACTAAAGCACAAACGCTGTCAGATGCGTGAGGCTTTCCGTGAAAGATCAGCTCAAACACATGCGTACAGGGTCCGCCTGGAGCCAGAGATGTGTTTCCAATAAAACAGCACTCCACCCTCACACACACACACACACACAGCTATTCACGGTCTGTTTGTGTTTGCGGGAAATACACCACCCTGCCATGTCATGTCTTAAACATGAGGAAAACTAAACGGATTCAAAAGCTAGTTTCTTATCACAAAGATGTGTCAAAAATATTAATGTATTATGAAATCCTTCCCGGATTAATCGTTCCCGGATCCCGAGACAGAGCATGTACATGTTTGGAGGATAAAACGAGCTCCGTGTTGACGATTGCCAATGTTAACATAGTTTAAATTGAACTTAAAACACAATTTTCTTAATTTTTTTTTTCCCCAACACAAAAGTCTTTCCCTAGATCACTATAACCTGCAAAAACGACTCAAAGCATCCAGGTTATGACATCACAACTACAAGCTCATTAACATATGATATGACCTCACACATTTACATATTAGCAACCATGTAAAACAACTGATTAATGACCATGTGAACTACAGTACTTGGTCCAGATCTTCTGCCTACGTGAGACTAGTGTATAAACCACATCACTATCAAACACAACACACACACACACACACACACATAATGACAGAATAAACACCGGGTTAATCTACTGGGACATGTGCATGACGTACCAGTCCAGTTCCCAGCGCATGTGAACGGACCTGACCACCATCAAGAGGAGAAGCTTCAGTGTGGAAAAACATTAGGAAAATATGTAAAAAAAAAAAAAAAAAACAACAACCCATAATGCATTTCAAGTGGGCGCCAGTTTATTTGAGCTACATACCATGACTTTAAGACATTTAAAGGGATAGTTCACTTTTAAATTATTATTTGGTATGTTTTATCTTACCTCAAGGACATCCAAGATGTAGGTGTCTTTGTTTCCACAGTATTTTCAATTTTGATATTTTTAGGTCAAACCGTTCTCTGTCAGTCATATAATGGAGGTCTATGGTCACCACCTCAAAGAGCATGCACAGAGAAGTCCAGATTAAACATGATTTAATGACTCGTAAATGTAAGTACACATTGATGGCCTAAGACACGAAACGAGCGGTTTGTGTGAGAAAACGAACAGTATTTATATCGTTTTTACCACTTGTTACCAAAAGCGCCCGCGCCCTCAGATCGCCCTTCTCACACAAACCGCTCGTTTCGTGTCTTAGGCCATCAATGTGTACTTACATTCACGAGTCATTAAATCATGTTTAATCTGGACTTCTCTGTGCATGCTCTTTGAGGTGGTGACCATAGACCTCCATTATATGACTGACAGAGAACGGTTTGACCTAAAAATATCAAAATTGAAAATACTGTGGAAACAAAGACACCTACATCTTGGATGCCCTTGAGGTAAGATAAAACATGCCAAACATTAATTTCAAACTCTGTAATATCATCGTGAGCTGAATATTGTCTGCTTTATAGCTGAATTACATCGACATAGTACCGAACCGAATAAACATTCAACTGACTTGAGCTAAACGACACCGTCTTCACATTTGATGAAGTGATTCAGTAGTTTTCCAGTTTATTACTGTAAAGCGCTTGACTAATGTTAGTTGTTGTTCTGCTACAGAAATGGGTGTAACACACATATATAATCCACTCAATGATGATTCATGAGAGTAGGAATGTGTCTAAACCTGCCGTACGAGTAACTGAGAGTCAATCTATCATGACACTGAGGCTGAATGCTTATGAAATAATGGTTTTCATGAAGATGTTTATGACTTTTTAAGTTACCTTTGGCATAGGAGTCCCAGTGTCTCCTGTAGTTGAGATCCATGTAAACATCTGCGAGGAGATCTGGAGAACAGCCGTCCAGAGACCCGAACACTTTGTACTCGTACAAACCCGTTTCCTGTTCAACAAATGCATCACAAACACACGCAACATCACAGCCAGAGCCTGCAATACTGAACAAGCGTCGTGATATACGAATGATTGATGTGATGTTATGTTATACACGCACTTCATCTTGAATGAATACGTCATGGTCGCTTTTGCTTATAAATCACTAAAACATCTGGATCTTTTATAGGGGATTTTGGTCATTTAATCCACACTGAGCCACATAATGTAATATGACTTTTAAATGTTATGTATATCAATACATATTGTGTTCATTATTATATAAAAGTTGTAAATCACTGGACTGCCACTAGTTTCACCCATTCAAATATAGACCATTTCACAAGATGTAAACAACACTGGTCCAGAAGCACTTCCTGTTTCAGTTTTTTAACACTACATAAAAGCAGGGATAAAATACAACCAACAGAACATATAAAACTGAATCAAAAAGTTAAACAAACATCTTTAAGATGTTTTCTTTACATGTGAAATAAAGAAAACAGTTACAAACTGAAACAGGAAGTGCTTCTGGACCAGTGTTGTTTACATCTTGAGAAATGGTCTATAGCATATACTCATTTTAAATAGTCACACTTTCAACTCCAGAAAACATTTATCAGGGTTGACTTATTTTTTTAAAGCACATTTATATGGGGCAAGTTGTCACAATGAGAAGCTGACATTAAAAGCATATTAAACAGAAAGACGGTATTAAGTAATTCATAACACAGTAAAAGCGCAAGGAGAAAACGGAGGAAATAAAAAAATAGTTTTATTCAAGTAAAATGCATATGAGTTTTATTTTGATTCGATATTTTTAAAAATGCATGGATTATGACGACATATGTGACAACTAGCCCCGGTCTAGTGCTTTTACTGTGAGTTATCAACATCACGTCCAGATGTTCAATATAATTTACGTTGGACATTGTATTTAGTTATCGTGCCTAAAATAATAATCAAACGCAACCATTGTATTATGTTATATATACTATTCCATGTCATGCATGATGTTATAGATCAGATTGCACTGCATTGTTTTGATTGTGTACAGGGCGCGTGCGCATTGAGTCATTCATCATCATATATTCACCTTGTTGTAAAGTCTGTATATTTTGACGTTCATGGTCTCAGTGAAGAACTCCCAGCCCCCGTCGAGCATCGGCTGGTCCAGCTCGGTCCAGGCCTTCTGAAACTCCTCATCGCTGAACTGCAGAGCCATGTTTCTTCCGCGTTCACCACCACTAGAGTCAGGAGTCATGTGTGCGCGCGGCGGCTGACGTCAGAGCGCTGCTGATCGCGCGCCACGTGCTCGCGCTCACGTAGATTTCATAAATGATATGGATACAAAACAATATAAATAGATATATGAATATTATTGTTATATATAAAGACAGATCATTTTATATTTAGATATCTTATATTATATTATATCTTATATGTTTATATAACATGTCACATGATCCTTCAGAAATCATTATAATATGATTATCTGATGATAAAGAAACATTTATTATTCAGTCAGTTTATTTATTATTATTATTAATGTTGAAAAACAGTTGTAAATAAAAAGTTCAAAAAAAGAACAGCATTAATCTGAAAAGGAAAGCTTTTGCGACATTTGTACTGCCTTTTAAATGTTCTGGGTCAATAAAATTGTATTTTTATTTTGGGAAAGAACTTAAAAAAATTATACATGTATTCAGCAAGGATGCGTTAAATTCATCAAAAGTGACAAGAAAGACATTTTTAATGTTAAAAATAATCTATTTCAAATAAATGCTGTTCTTTTGAACTTTCTATTCATCAAAGAATCCTGATTTTTTTTGTTTTAAATAGTTTTCACACACTTAAAATAATAAAAACTGTATTTGAGCATCAACTCATCATATTAGAGTAAATTTATATATTTAATAAAATAAATGCAGCCTTGGTGAGCATAAGAGATTTCTTCTAAACATTAAAAATCTTACCAATTAAAAAATAATAATAAAATAAATAAATTTATTATATATATATATATATATATATATATATATATATATATATATTATTTTATTTATTTATTTATTTATTTTTTGTGCCTGTCAGCCATTCATACTGTAATCTCAAAATTAATTCCAGCCGGGTGGTCAGGAGCCTAACATGAGACATATTTGTCTGAGAGAAACCCAATCCGGTCACCTTTGTTCCCAGATGAAACTCTATACAGTGTATAGTTGTGAAAGTGTAATACAATAAAGGGTTAGATCCAGGCTGATAGGAAAGAACCTGTGGAAAAACATATCCCATAAAACACTATACAGCCAAAAAAAGAAAAAAAAATGTGTTACAATAAACGAAACATTGAAGAAACTTTAAGGAGTGTTTGTATAAAATCTTTTAATTAAAAGAATGGTTCGGTGAGAATTGCACTGAATAAACTCAAATGAACCTAAAAACCAAACTCTCAGCGTCTGTGTGCTGTCAGTCAGAGACCGAGCGATGTCCGTCAGCGCGAGCTGCGTTTGAGGAGAGATTTCCTCCGGGAAGGAAGACTGTAGACAACACCCTGTATCACATTACAAGAGAAAAAGAAGCAGAGAAACACATTAGATGCTTGAGTCACACATAAATGTGTTCAAATCACAAACGCATTCAAATTCACATTGACACATATTCAAATGTATGTCCACAAACAAAATGCGCACTTGTGCAGTGATTTACCGGCAACTGCAGCAAGACTGTTGAAATAAATATTGTATATGCAATAATTTCCATATTATTTGACTGTGTACAACTGTTCAAATATATTATTCATCTTTATTTATTAATTTGTACCTTAAATGCATGGCTAACAGTGTTTTCCAAATGAAAATACACGAAAATTTTGGTTATTAGGCTACATATCGTAAAAGTGTGAAACGCATGAGTTGCAATAAATACAACCAGAACTAAATACACACATATCATCAAGCAACTTCTTATAAAACACTACTGAAGGAGTGTTTCTGAAGAGCATTTTTGCGGCCCAAAGTGGGCGGAGCTGGCCGTCGCCATCTTGGACGCGTGTCACTCCCGGATAACTGAAAATGAGCGAAGACGAAGAGGTGGATTAGGTGACGTAGTGACATCACCGGCAATCCACCTGTCACTCAAGTGGCCATGCCCTTAATTATGCCCCAGATAGCAAACTGACATTGAATCAACGTGGAAATATGACATCGAAACAACGTTGATCTGACATTGTTTTGCTCATCGAATTAACGTTGAACCAACGTCAGACGCGTCATTCTTTCAAAACTAACGGAAAATCAACTTGAAATCAACGCGTTGTTTCAACGTTATGAAAGCAAACCAATTTTCGATTTTCATTTAGCTTTGAAGAATGCCGCGTCTGACGTTGGTTCAACGTTAATTCGATGAGCAAAATCAACGTTGTTTCAATGTCATGAGAGACGTCGTTTCCACGTTGATTCAATGTCAGTTTGCTGTCTGGGGCACAACTTAAGGCTTAATATAATTTAAAAGGATGAGTTATAAAAAAAAATCACCTCCCTCACAGTCGTCATGAAGGGCAAAATTAGCTATATAGAGCAAAAACACTCTTTGTACCAGGCTGTAAACATGTTTTTTTGTGTTGTAAAGTTGGGCATTTTAACATGGAGGTCTATGGGATTGACTCTCTTTTGCAGCCTGTCTCTAGTGGCCAGTCGATGAACTACAGTTTAAGTCACTTCTGTGTTGGATTCAAGAGAGAGATGGTACGTTCTATTATTCATCCGTCTCTGAGATCCGAATCGGACGACAGACGTTGCCTAGCAACACGCCCCCTTTCCTCGGATTTCTCCTCTCGGACGTCGGACAACCATGAGACCACCGAACAAGAATTCCGCTTTCAAGATGGCTGCGCCCTGTGACTTGTCATTGTTTTTGAACCGCTTTGGTATTTTAAATGACGATTATAATCACTCGTATTACTGCGTCCCCTGTGGGTATGGGAATCGGTTGTTGTGAGTGCAATTACTAACGTTGCTAACAGAAGATTAACATGAAAAACATTAAATAAAGTGAACATTTTCAAGTTCAAATGGCTGTGTTTTGATAAGGTGTAGTCATAATATTTTTTTTTTAAATGTAAGTGCCTGGTACTCGGCCAGTGCTACCATGACAACAGCTTTCTCCGACTCGGACACGCAAAACATAATAGAACTCTTGAAGTGTGGACGTGACGTCAAATCCGAGGTGTGAGTTGGTTCGTTGGCTATAATAGACCGGTAGGTTGCCACTTGGTTGAAACTTACAGTTATGGTAAAGGGGCGGGACATTTCCCAAACAGGCTCAAAGCTATTGGCCAATCACAACAAACTGATCCATTCGACCAATCAGAGCACAGTGTGCTTTTCAGAAGGAGGGGCTTCATAGAGACAGGAAGTAAACAGAGCGTTACTAACAGACTGGGAAGAGAGGAGCCGCAACAATGTAAAACATGAGGAAAGAAATATCGTTGGAACATTCATGCGTGAAAATCGAAATCAAAACTTCGTAAAAGGGCAATTTTAACGCTGCAACGTTATACTGTCATGAGCATTACCTTTGTTTGATATTTATGACTTATTTTAAAGCTTTAACCAAAATGAATTATACCCAAACACACTGCCAAAGTTAGTTCCTCTCAATGAACATTATTACATGCCCACCATCACCGCAAACCATAATCGAGCAGCAGATGACATGGTTTACAAAGCTTACGCCCCTCCCCGTGTGTTCAGACTGAAGCAGCACTAGTTCACATGGAGGAGGAGGAACTCAGACGCACTTCTAGTGAATGAGACCTGCACACACAGTCAGTCAGTCTCCGACACGCTTCAAGAGGAGGAGATCTCAAGGAGCCGGCTGTGTTTGGACTATAACGGGACTTTAATGCCTTCGGTTTGCTGAACAGGACCTTCAGAGGGCAGGATGGAAAACACGTGTGAGGTAAATGACTTGCCCCTGTCTCAGATTACCTTCATGCATGCACCGAACTCATTATTTCACATTCATAAAGTATTATTTTCGTAAGGGTGTCGCACGTGGCATTAGTGAATGTTTCTGCTGCCTTCATGCATGCAGTTTCTGAGGTATAGCTAGTGAAATACAAGACCTTTAATGTCGGTTTCTCAAAAACACAAAGTTTTAATGTAGCTAATTGCAATGATAATATAAAGATAAGTTATTTTAAGTCACCAAAACAAACGTTTTAATGCATAAATAATAGCATTTTAATTCACTATAAATATAAAGCAATAAATATACTGTTTTTGCATTATTTAGTGCACAAATGCACTCATTTGAACATCCTTTAAACACTCAAAAACAGCTTTAAAGTAGCCATTAATTTGATATTTTATGACTATATCAACTTTTATGACAATGATTATAAACAAGACGTATCTTCTAGTTCTGCATGAAAATAATATTTTTTTTGCCTATAAAATTATAAACAAATGCCATTTTCAGATTCTGTGAATAAGTCTGCCACTCTATTCGGATTTTTTTTTGATTGTATTGTGTTTTTGCTATAAAGAAATAATGTTACCCTTCATGGGTACCCCCGCAACTTTTCTGAAACAAAAAAACCGCATGCTCAGTTTCGAGTAAAAACAATATCCGTCAGTTTATATTGATTGCAAAGATCTACTGTAAATGTAAAAGTATTGAATCTGAAGCACATGAGGGTTAAAATCCAGGTTAAACCGCGCAGCTGTAATGCGTAACGGTCAGAGAGAAGTGTCACGGGCGTTTGGCAGCTCTGCTGACCCTCTTAAGAAAAAGCCCCTTGAGAAGTGACTGTTAATTTATACGGCGCTCGTGTTTCATGGGCCGGTTTGTAATGTCATATCGCGAGCTCTCCAGGGAATGTGGCAGCTCTCTTTGCGTCATTCAGACGACGGTCGGCCTGGCCCTGTGGTCAGAAAGGGGATCTGGGGGCTCTTCCCGCTTGAAAACCAAAACAACTCCACAGACTTGCCCTGCGCTCGCATGTGTTTACTCGCTCAACCATCACTATTACTATTCCTTATAGATTGAGTTTGGGCTTTGTTTAGATCATTAAGTATTGCACTTCAGCGTGTAACTCGTTCTGCATCATATAAACAAACAACACTAGCAACCAACCTAGCAACACACAAAAACACCCTAGCAACTACCTAGAAAACCATAGCAATGCAATGACAACCAGACGATGGGGTGCGTTACTGCGCTTCCCAAAAGTATCGTTAGCCAACTATGGTCACAAGGTCCGTCATTATCAGCATAGTTCAACGGCTCGGTGTTTCCCAAAAACATAGTTCTAACGAACATTCGCAAAATTGTGTGTTTGGATTTGGAACGACAGCTCTCGACCTGTGGTTAGAGAAGCAGTTTCTTGTTTGCATGACATGTGGATTTAATAAAGCCTTATATTGAGCCAAATAAGCAAGCTGGCATTCAGTATGTTTTATTTAGAATACATACAAATGTAATTTACGTCTTTTAGTTTGTCAAGAGATTTAAAGCGAAGTTTATGTGCGAACGTGCTCTAGTACGCAAGAACGAGCCTGTGATTGAATCTAAACTGTATAACTGAGAAAAATTAGAAATAGTCCTCAGATGCCATGTCTGTAATGTATATCAAAACACCTTGCTTTAATTCGATCTCAAAATGATTAATTAAAAGTAGTTATTACTCCACCACGTGAGTGACGTCATAAACCAACGTGGTTGAATGACCAATTTGCGACAAAAGTTTGGGAAAAAAACATTGGGTGCATTTCCAATTTGAATTTGCGCAACTTTTAGCGCAGACATGTTGTAATCGCAGACGAAATCCTAGTTTGTTTACAAATTTCAAAGATGTACTTCGCGATTAATTCAGCAATCATTTGATCTGTTGTATTATGTCAACTAAATAAACCATATAGCAAAAATCCTGAGAAAGAAAGGTTTTGTTTGATATATGACTTGCCATTGTTCATCAAACTTGACCAATGCCTTCAATATTCAAATTTATAATCACACTTACGTTCATAGGCGGAAATCGCGGGGGGGTCGGGGGGGTCAGGACCCCCCCTATCTGAGGGTTGTCCCCCCCAAAAAAAACCATTAAAATATGTGTAATTGTAAATAATGTAATGATATATTCTTATAATAATTAAGAAATAAAATAACACAAATGCAAACGGGGCAATTACGTAAAAAGCGTACTAAACATTTTGAGACCCCCCTCCCTTGCCTCACAGTGCGTTGGTCCACCGCCTCCGTCCCTTTTACCTCAGACACACACATTCCGGTGGCGGGAGAGAAAAACATAGTGTTTGAATAGTTGTGGAACTCCAGTACAGTAGGTCGCACACCGGACGAGAAGCGTAGCGGCGCGTCGCGCAGCGCCACGTCTTTAAAATTCGAACACATTATTCTCTATGAGTGTACACACACCGGCGGCGCCGTTCGGCGTCTGTCCGCGGCGCCCAGCAACGGCTCAGGACCGTGTTCAAAACCCTGCTGCGCCACAGAGCGCCATTTACATAGTTTTATATACAATTTTAATTATTTTTGTCTCAAATCGTTGCTAATAGATCCTGACTTCGCCCTATGCTGCAATATACATTTAGTTTTGCATTCATTTACAGAAATCAGCTGCTTGAATGACAATTGCTGATGTTATTGGATTTTTCAGGTGAGATTCTCAATTCATTCAGTTAACGGATGCTCTTCAGACCGCAGACTCAGCAACGATTGTATTTAATTGTACATAACAATAATAATAACAGACACTATCTTCATGTCATTAAACATTACAATATTGCTGGCCATACACTGATGAGAAAGTCCGGGTGCGCTGTGCATTTAGATTCTAACGCTTTCACTATGATTTAGTTGGTTTATATCATGTAATATAACTTAGTTAAAGAATGAGTCAATGAATGAAATGAAATCGCTGCGCTGCGCGAGGAGAGTATGTAAACAGATTCGCCGCTGGCTTAAACCAGAAAGAAATTTTAAGAAGTATAATGAAATGGTCTCCATGCTACACTAATAATAGTAGTAAGGCTTTCCTCTGTATTTTTTTGCCTGTATTATTGGTGTCCCCTTCAAAATTTGCTCTTGAGAATTGTTATGTTTATTGTCCCCCCCAACATTTTGATGAAATTTTCGCCCCTGCTTACGTTTGATCGGTATTTCGGTTGCGGGTGGAGGAATTTAAACAATTAAATTGTGCAATATGTAAAATGAATTAAAAAATGATGGTTTTGTGTGAAAAGTAAAGGGTCTAAGCTTTGTAGTGATATCACATATGACTGTTAATGTTTCATCAGGACCTTTAAATATTAAAGGGCGATCATAATAACGATCTTAATAACGCAATTCACACTTACGACCTTAACACGTTAAAGGGTATTGGAAACGAAGCTAGTGATGCAAACTTATTGTTCAGCCTCCAAAAAAAAAATGCAGTGCTCTATTGCTTATTTTAAAAAAAGGTTTTAAAACCATTTTCTCATTGTATGTGTAGTTCGTTTATAGCCTGCATTTTGCCGGTTGCATTTAGGCTTCAAAATTCATTGAACAAAACGCGTCAGAATAATAAGCTTTATTTGGTCACAACTTATTTTCTGCCATAATCCAAAAGCCAATGGAACCCTGTTGAAGAAACCAAAGTAGCCGCGTTTCCGTTACAGATTTGCGCAAAACTTTTGAGATCTAAAACTATTGCGAAATGACTGTGTTTACGTTAACCGATGTTATGCGACTAAAACTTCGGCCTCCAAAAACACTGCTTAAAAAGGCTCTAAAACCATTTTCAAATTAAATAAAACCCTGTATTGTAATAAACTCGTCTTGCTTTTTCTTACAGGTGCGGAAACGGTGAGAACAATATTGAGTAGGGACGGCTCAGACTTCGGCTGATGCCTCGAAACACACTGACCCTTGACCCTGCGATGCCCGCCGAGCTTGTGAAAGACACCATGACGATCCCCGGAGCTCCCGAGCGAATCCTGGCCGAGAAAACCAACAACAACGAGCCACCGCCGGCCGTCACCGTTCCTCTGGTTAACGAGGTGCAGTTGACGGCGGCCACCGGGGGAGCCGAGCTCTCCTGCTACCGGTGCACCGTCCCGTTCGGCGTGGTGGTCCTGATCGCCGGGATTGTCGTGACCGCCGTGGCCTACAGCTTCAACTCTCACGGCTCCACCATATCCTACTTCGGACTGGTGCTGCTCTCGGCCGGGCTGGTGCTGCTCGCCTTGAGCGCCGTCTGCTGGAAGGTGCGGATGGAGAGAAAGAAGGAAAGGAGAAGAGAGAGTCAGACAGCCCTGATGGCCCATCAGAGGAGCATCTTCGCCTGATTTACACACAAGACTCCAAAAAACAGTCAAAACGTCGTTACACTCACATTTTGGGACAATGTCCAGATGTTTTGCCCCCAGTTCAGAGCAAACGAGTTCTCTCGGAGAAAAAGACGGATGACGGGATCAGAACGAGTGTTCGGAGCATTTAATCGAGACTGTACTTGCAGCTGCATGCGTCCAGATGTCGAGACACAGCTGTAGTGCAACGCAAATGTTTTCTTACTCAGCGTTTTTGTCTTGTTTTCCATTAAAATACCTTAGATCAAGATAAATATATTTTAGATGCTATGAAGCCATGTTTTTGAGTGGGTTTATGCATAAAACTAATGTCAACGGGGTCAGAAAAATAATCTAGTTTATCATTTACTGTTCTAATCCAATTGACAGATATTTTTTCTTGTTTTAAGCATAAATTCACTTCATTTTGATACATTTTTCAGAAAACAAGACTTAGAGCCAGATTTACAAACAGCTTGTGTCAGTGCTAACCATTTTTGGCGCTAAAAAACTACTGTTAGGTAAGCGCTGAAAAGGCGTGGACAGGGTTGTTTTTGCGGCTCACCTTATTGCATATGCATCTGTAGGAGTTTTCCGATATTTACGATAAAAGGCCTCGTCCACACTACTGCGTTTTCGTTTAAAAACGAAGACCTTTTGCTACATTTGCACCTCCCGTCCAGACTAAAATGAAAAAAACGAAGACCTAAAACGGATAAGTTTGGAAACGCTGCAGCTCCGTTTTGCGTTTTGAATCTCCGGAGGGCGTTTTAGTGAAGACGGAACAAAACGGCTCGGCTCTATGATTGGGTCCTTCCCTGATTCGTCAGCCACCGTTTACACCGGCACGCACATGCCCAGTGTTGGTGAATGGTCACGTGATCTGCGTTTTCAGTCGTTTTAATGTGGACGGAGATCCATTTTAATATGCAGATAAAACGCTGGTGTGGACGGAGATCGTATTCGTTTTAATTCTCCGTTTTTAAACGAAAACGCAGTTGTGTGGACGGGGCCTAAGGTTCGCGCTAGTAAATGTACTGGTATATGTGCCATTATTTACCACCCAACTTATCAGACTGATCTCATGAAATGGCGTATGTATGACACGCCAATTCGTATTTCCATTTTTGGCGTGCTATCAACACGCATAATCGCTTTTCAGCGTGTTTATGAACGCCGTTGACATAACGTTATTACTGTATATATATATATATGACCTACCCCAACACCGTCCCTAAACCTACCCGCCACTGGGGTTAATCGTGTTTATGAGTCTTCCCTTACCATCCTAGGGAAAAAAAATATCACTCCCCAGATGTAGATCTACAATTTGCTTCGTTTCGCTCGGATATTTAACGGCGTGTACATACACGTGGAATCACTCAGACATTTAACGGCGTAGACATACAAGCGGATACGCGCGGATAGCTCAAAATGCGTATAGATAACACGCCACTTGACTTGAAAGTGGTGTGTATGTTTACGCAAAAGTCATGATGTCATGTTGAAATTATTTACCAACCCAAAAAGCATGTCTTAAACCAGAAGCTAATTTGCGCTGCTCTTGGTAGATTGTAGTCTTAAGTTATTGTCTGTGAATGAACACAATATTCCTCATTTAAATTATTCCCGCCTAAGGCATACGGTAAATACGGAGGTGATGTCTGGTTGAGTTGTTGAAACTCGCGATTACATGGGCGTGACATTTAAGAAATAAGCTCAAAGCTCTTAGCCAATCACAACACACTGGTCCAGCCGACCAATCAGAGCACAATGTGCTTTTCAGAAGGAGGGGCTTCAGGAACTCAACAGAGCGTTACTGACAGACCGGGAAGAGAGGAGCCGCAACAATGGAGAATATGCGAAAAATAATGTGTTTTTTGAACATTCAAGCATGAAAACCAGTTCTAGTAGAGCCAAAAAAGGGCATAATAGGCCCTTTTTTAAGTAAATGTATCATGATTTAGGAATGATTTGGAAAACAAGACAAATACTATGTACAGTTTTGCAGTGCGGGACAGCGCTCGTTTTCAGGACCTCACAGCTTCTGACGGACCGCAGCGCTAGCCAACCTTTCAAGTGGTTTGTAAGCGCTTTCTTTCTTTTTTGTTTTCTCCTCAGTCTCTTTTGCCTGTCAGGCAGGACCGTTCGGTTATCTGGGACGCGGGCCAAGGCAAAATTAAGACCAGTAACCGCTGTGAAAACCCAGAGACGGGAAGTGCCGTATTAATCCACGGCTGCTTCCTGTCCGGTCGGATTAATGGAAAGACGCACTTTGAGACATAAAGGAAAGGGAGGACAATGAGGAAATGAAGAACAATGATCTTTTTCTTCATTGAGAGCGTTTTTCTGACACCCAACTACTTTATATGTCACTTTCGTAGACGTACGGTACTTAAATCACTAGTGGTATGATGTATATACAACAATGGGCTGGAAAACCACATGCTATTATTTTCTTTTATTGAGTTTATTGTGTTTATATTCTTGTATTCGGACTATGACGACAGACGTGCTCTGACTTGAGCGGCATGTGAAGTAACTTAAAAAGACTGATAACCGCATTTAAGATGACAGTATTATGTGTATTTGAGCACTTTTGATCATTTCAATAATCGTGAATCGTTGATTTCAGGTGCTTGTGATTGATGGGAGACTGACAAGAATGTGTCTTAATAATTCAGTTTCAAATTGTTGTATGATTGTAATCGTCATTAGTGTCTTTGGAAATGTTTTATCTGTAAGCTGTCGACAGAACTATTTTTAATAAACTCCTGTGCAAACAGAATACGTTATCTTGTGGTATCATGTGAGTGATTTATTTTAAAAAAAATCATCTGAATATATGAATATTCTGTATAATATATCTATATCTATCAATTATATTATCTAATCTAAAATAGTTCACTGCACCTGTTGCATTAAAATTGAATATTTGTGCTGAAGCATCCCTTTTAAAAGTAAACTGATAAAACAAACTGTTATGACTTTGAACTCTGACCGAATGAGCCGCACTGAAGTCTCCTGTAACTCTTTTAGAGGCGACTGGCTTTAATTATTTCTCCCGTGACTCTTGCTGTTTGTTTGAAGTCTCAGTTAAAGAGCGCTTTGGGACGGGTCGATTGTAACGAGCTTTCTCATGTGAGTAAAACTTTCAGTAATGAATGGAAGGAAATGTGTCTTTCTTTTAGCATGTTCTCATGACTGCACTGCGCATTGTGTGCCTAGATGACCCAGACTTCACTACACATATAGTTTGTTGTTTTATTGTTTATTGATTTGAGCAGTGAATTTGAAAGGCTTATTTTTTTAGTAAGACTGTGTGGTTGTTTACCAAGTCAAGCATCACTAGTACAATTGCTCACATGCAGGCGAACAATTATAAAGTGTGGTCAAAATCCGTTTAACATTTTAAATGTGTTGTGTTGTAAAATTCACCTTAGAAACACTAATACAACGCCCTGGCAACTACTCTGAACACCCTGGCAACCGCATATCAACGCTCTCACAACCACGCAAATCATTTTAAAAGGAAGAAAGCAACATCCTGGCAACTACCCTGAACACCCTAGCAACTGCATAGCAACACTTTCTCAACCCACTCAAATAACTTTAGAAACATTAAAGCAACGCCGTGGCAACTACCCTAAACAACCCAGATAGCATACTGACATTGAATCAACGTGGAAACATGACATCGAAACAACGTTGATCTGGCATTGTTTTGCTCATCGAATTAACGTTGAACCAACGTCAGACGCGTCATACTTTCAAAACTAACAGAAAATCAACTTGAAATCAACGTTGTTTCAACGTTATGAAAGCAAACAAATTTTCGATTTTCATTTAGCTTTGAAGAATGCCGCGTCTGACGTTGGTTCAACGTTAATTCGGTGAGCAAAACAATGCCAGATCAACGTTGTTTCGATGTCATGAGAGACGTCGTTTCCACGTTGATTCAATGTCAGTTTGCTGTCTGGGAACCTAGCAACTGCATAGCAACACTTACCCACTCAAAACATTAAAGCAACGCCGTGGCAACTACCCTGAACAGCCTAGCAACTGTAGCAACGCTCTCTCAACCCACTCAAATAACTTTAGAAACATTAATGCAACACCGTGGCAACTACACTGAACACCCTAGCAACCGCATAGCAATGCTTTCTCAACCCAATCAAACAACTTTAGAAACCTTTACGCAACACCATGGCAACTACACTGAACACCCTAGCAACCGCATAGAAATGCTTTCTCAACCCATTTAAACAACTTTAGAAACATTAAAGCAACACCATGGCAACCACCCTGAACACCCTAGCAACTGCATAGCAACGCTCTCTCAACCCACTCAAACAACTTTAGAAACATTAATGCAACACTGTAGCAAATACACTGACCACTCTAGCAACTGCATAGCAATGCTCTCTCTCAACCCACGCAAAGCACTTTAGAAACAGTAAAGCAACGCCCTGGCCATCACCCTGAACACCCTAGCAACTGCATAGCAATGATCTCACAACCACACAAATCATTTTAGAAACAGTAAAGCAATGCCCTGACAGCTACCCTGAACACCCCAGCAACTGCATAGCAACGCTCTCTAAACCCACTCAAACCACTTTAGAAACAGTAATGCAATTATGCAACACCCTGGCAACTACCCGAAAAACCTTAGCAACTGCATAGCAACGCTCTCTCAACTGGCACAAATTTATTGAGAAACAGTAAAGCAACACCCTGGCAACTACCCTGAACACCCTAGCAACTGCATAGCAACACTCACTGAACCCACTCAAATAAATTTAGAAACATTAAAGCAGCGCCCTGGCAACTACCCTGAACATCCTAGCAACCACATAGCAATGCTTTCTCAACCCAGTCAAACAACTTTAGAAACATTAAAGCAACACCCTGGCAACTACCTTGCACACCCTAGCAACCTCATAGCATTACTCTAACCATAACCACTCAGAACACCATAGCAACACCCTGGCAACCCCCTACAACACTTTGGCAGATTTTGGCAAGTAAAGTGTAAAAGAAAAGCAAATGTAGTTAACTAAACAGAAAACACACAGATTTTGTATTTCCTTCATGAACTGAAAAACAGAAATGTTCTATTTGTGTAAAAGCACAAAACAACCATTAGTCCATTCGAGCAGTACAGCTGCAGTCCCCAGACTCGATCAGCTCTATAGGTGATGGGTTGTGGCCTTGAACTGCTCGCTTTGACACAGCTTTTTAAAATAGCCAGACTTAAGAGACGTATTTATAGGCAGCATTTGCGTTGCTATGCGTTTCCCTGACACCAGACACTACAACTCAATGGTTTGCTTGCGTCAGAGCAGCATCCACGACACACTTCGTCAGATTCGATAGCCAGCGTCCCTTATGACCTGGTGAACACACAGCACAGGAGAGATGGGCTGACACCCGACACATACAGTAGATCAGATGTTTGACGCCCGGGACCAGGTCATCTTCTCTCCACGGAAAGGTCTGGGAAGACCTTTGGAGGAATAAAAATAAACGCAAATGAGACCAGTGTTGTTTCATACTATTGTATTATTTATCCAAACTTGGAAGTAGCTTTTATTTTTATGTTTTCAGTTTTTATTATAACTTATGTTTTGGTAATTTTGTTACTTTTGTAATTTGTATTGGCTTTAAGAATTTCGGTTTAGATTTA